AGGTCTCGCTGCCCAGGCGTGTCTCGAACCCATGGGCTCAGGCAATCCACTCACCTCAGCTTCCCAAAGGCGCGGGATTACAGGCAGAGCCACCGAGCCCAGCTAGATTTTTTTTTTAATGGTATTTTCCACATTTTTAGAAATCATTACCAAAAAAAACCTTCTAGAAAATTTCGTATCAGTGCCTCAAAAGCCTCCTCCTGTGACATTCGTTCAAGGAATCCCAGAGGACTTCTAGGGAATACATCTTGAGAAAACAGTCAGGAGGTAATAAACCGCCCCAAACAGCCCCAAACCACATCCAAGCTGCACAGACTGACTTCTCTGCAGCATATGGAGTCAGGCACCCAGAAGGGGTGGAGCCCACAGAGTTTAGCACAAGGACAAGTCATGACTTCTTGTGTACATGCGGAGGACTTCAGACTCTCCACCCCAGAGCCCAAGGTATGCTTTTGGGACTCAGCCACAAAATCAAACAATCAATCAATAATCTGGCTGTTCCAATGGCTTCAATATCCAGTTGGCAAACATGTCTCCTCTCAAACTGATGACGAGGACTACAGCTTGCAGAGAATTTGGAACTCTGCAGAAGACATGAGTTCAAATCTCAGTTTCACCACTGATCTCGCTGGGGGCCATGAGACAAGTCACTTCAGTTTGGCCTCAGTTTTCTCAGCTATAAAGTGGGAATGATAATACTGAATCCATATGGTTGGAATGTCATGAGAAACAGGTGAGTGATGTTAAAAACTCAGGATCTGGCATCGGGGTGAGCTGACTCAGAATTCCAGTTCTGACCCTTAGCATCCCTGATTCCTCAGGCAAATCTCTGAGCCCGCTTTCCTCTCTGTGGATGAACACAGTGACCCTATCATGGAAATTCTGAGAGGATTTAGAAAGATCATGTATGGAAAGTATCTAGCACAGAGTGAGGCTATTATATTTTCTAAATGACTATATATATTTGATCTCTGACCTACAAAAGGGAAATTATTGTTTTTATTACAGAAACCTGTTTAAAAGGGCTGAAATTAACTTTCACCACTTTGAGGACAAACTCTAATAAATTGCCTGGTACGAAGAGAAGAAATAGGTTTTTCCTAAACATTCTAAATTCTGTTATCATGAAACAACAATTGTTGGCTAGCTGGTGGGGATGGGAGAGGTTACAACTACTTTGCAGGGATGCAAATGAAACCCTAGACTGAGGCCTCATTAGCATGTATAAAATGGTTAAACTTGAGGTTCCTGCCCTCCCTATTCACACAGCTTTGAGACCCAAATATACTACCCAGCCAGGTGTGACTGGTTTCCTTACCAGGTAAATCGGACTTCGGTCATTATCCATCGCCGGGATGCTGGTGAGGACCTCGGCTAACACCTGGAGAAAAGAGAGGAGAGCATGGTTCAGACACTCATGCACAGGTCAAGCAGTTCATTCTGGCTTCTTCTCAATTGCAAAGTCTGGGGTCCAGGCCTGGCTTTGTCATTTGCCAGCAGAGGCCCCAGCAGAGACATGGGAGTATCACTAAATACCTCTTCCAACTAAAGATACCACCCAGCTGCCAGGGTTCAGGAGTATTCTATTATGGAGTATATATATCAACTGATAGCAAGGCAGGGAGGCTGGTTTTCAAAAATTCATGTGTGTGTGTATAGGTATTACCATATGTTATGTGTGTATATATATACATACAATATAAACACACACACACGCTTTTTTTTTCATAAATAGGGTCTTGCTCTTGTTGCCCAGGTGGGAGTCCAATCGCACAATCATAGCTCACCGTAGCCTCAAACTCCTGGCCCAAGTGATCCTCCGGCCTAAGCCTCCTCCGTAGCTAGGACTACAAGTGAGTGCCACCACACCCGGCTGACTTAAAAAAAAAAATTTTTTTTTTTGAGAGATGGGAGTCTCATTATGTTGCTCAAGTTGGTCAAATGCCTGACCTCAAGCAATCCTCCAGCCTCAGCCTCCCAAAGCAGTGGGATTACAGATGCGAGCCATGGTGTCCAACCACACATACTATTTTTAAAATATTATTTCATTAAAAAGTTCATTAGCAACAGAAAGCAGTCATTGCTATGTCGATCTCAGGGGAAAAAGGAATTCATATGCTGGTTTCTAGCTAGTCCATACATAAAGTCTTGACAACATCCATAGCATGTTTTATCCGTAGGCCCTTATTCACATTATATATGCATTCATTCACTGATGTATCCACTCACAAAAGGGGTGCGGTCCTGAACCCGTGCACACCACATGAGATTCACAAACTGTGATACATGTCTCAACTAAATGGGAAGTCTGCTTTGAACAGAAATTCCCAGCAGAGATAACAGCGTGGTGACTGGGGCTCTGGAGTCAGGCAGGCTTGAATTCAAATTCTGACCCGGTTGCTCATATGCTCAGGTGATCCTTGGACAAGTAACTAGGCTCAGTGAACTCATTTGTTAAAAGGGGATCTAGCAGTTGTGATTATTAGAGTGAATATCCCAACCTTAGTGTCAAATCTTTCTCCCACAGCCTCTCTCAAAGCAAGTCAGAACAGGATCCCATTTACTGCCTGGAGCAAGGAGAGGATAATGGTTTGAGACTATCCAGGGCCAGTAACACACAGATGGGCAGTGGCCAGAAGGGGGCAGCAGAGGGCACCTCTGCAGCAAGTGGAACTCCGGATACTTCCTCTGCCCCTTCCATATGGCCGGCTCTGTGCCAAGGCCTTTACAGAGGTCATTTAGTGCTCATCAAAATACAGAGAAATGCACTATGCTCCCTGCAAGAGTAACCAAAGTTCAAAATCATAACCATGAATCTGTGGCAGGCTGAGAAAAATGGTAAGGGAGCCAGTGGGCACTTGATGAATGAGTGAATGGATGAATAAATGAATGAACAAAGAAGTCTATGACACCAAGAGCTTACTTAGAAGGCCAAGTGTAAATAGGCCTGGTGTGGTGGCTCACGCCTGTAGTCCCAGCAGGCCAAGGCAGGAAAGTCACTTGAGGCCAAAAGTTTGAGACCAGCCTGGGCAACATATCAAGCCCTTGTCTCTACAAAAAATAAACAAATTAGCCAAGTATGATGGCACATGTCTGTAGTCCCAGCTACTTAGGAGGCTGAGGAAGAAGATCACCTGAGCCCAGAAGGTGAAGGCTGTGATCGTACCACTGCACTCCAGCCTGGGTGACAGAGTATGACTCTGACTCAACAACAACAAAAAAGAATAAACAGGTATCAGGAATGAGGGTTGGGAAGGTAGGAATAACAATAACAATAACCACAGTAATAATATTCTCAATACGTGAAGGGTACTGTGCTAACCAGTTATACACATTATCCCACTAATCTCCATATGTATCTTACCCCCATCTTACAAAAGACACAGCTGAGGCCCAGAGACAGAGGAAAAGTACATAGGTCACATAGCTGAAGGAAACTGAGCTGGGGCTAGGCTATAGTGCCTAGCAGCCTCAGGGTTCAGTGTCTCTGGTTTGTTCATCAGGAAACAGGAGCTTGAGCCAGCCCTGCTGAGCGTCCCTGAACAACTCAGTGTGGCTGAGAGAGGCAGGGAAACCACAAGAGCTGGATGGGCTGACAGAAGGGGAGCAGAATCTGGTGTTTGGGCTGAGGGCAGAAGGTAGCTCAGGGCCAGGGCTGTAGTGGCAGAGGGAACAGACACAAGTCTGTGGTCAGAGGCAGGAAGTGCAGAGTTTGAGGCTAGAGGGGAAGAGAGAGCGAGAGGGGAAGAGAGAGGGCAAGGCCCAAGTCTGCACTTGGCTGAGTGCAGTCCAACTGTTGCTTTTCTCAGTCAGCGTTTCCCAGACTGGGTTCCATGACAATGATGTGGACAGATACTTTAAGAAAACAAGGTTTCCAAGTCAAATGATTGGGGAAACGCTATACATCCCTCTCTGGTGACTTCACAATTACCATATTAAAAGCTCATTACCATCTTAAAAGCTCGAATTAATCTTGTGCTAAAGAAACCTACTTAACTCCATTTAACCTAGTATTTCCCAAGCCCTTTTAACACATCAGTCCTATAGATTCGAAGAAACTGGTGTTCTACAGAAATGTATTTTGAATACTGCTACACTCAGACCAGGAACCCCTGGGGGTAGGGCTTGTGTGTCAGTTACATTTATATTCCAAGAGCCTGCCACATGGTAATGACAGACAGGGGTGGTGGAGAGGAATAGTGGGTGGGTGGACAGATGCTGAATGGATGAATGGACAGATAATTGGACAGTAGATGAACAAACACGGACAAACAGGATAGAAAACTGGATGGCTGGATAGGCATTAGGACAATTGGGAGATAGCATCGGTAGCCTGCTAGGACCTGGACACTCATAAGTGGCTTTTCTTCAACAGTTGGCAGTCTTTTTTTTGAGTCTGAGTCTCACTCTGTCACCCAGGCTGGAGTGCAATGGCACGCTCACAGCCACCGCAGCCTTGACCTGCTGGGATCAGGTGATCCTTCCTCCTCAGCCTTCCAAGTAGCTGGAACTACAGGCATGCACCACCATGCCCAGCTAATTTTTTGATTTATTGTAGAG